CCTGGCCCCTCCTGGACCAGTTCTGGGCAGGTAGGGCTTCTGCGAGGATTATCTCCCAGTGCGCTGGGAGGAGTTGAGGGCTGTTATTGTGTCTGGATTAGGAAAAGCTTATGAGTTTCACCTTCAAACCTCTAAGCTGCTGTAACACGAGAAGTGGTTACAAAACAGAGGGGCCAGCGGCCCTCACCGCTCCTGGCCCGTGCCCGCCAGGCCCTGGGTTGGAGGGGCACAGGGTGTGGTGAGGAGGAAGCCCCAGCCAGGGACCTGAGCTGCCGCCTGAGGGATGGCGGGAGTAGGCCCAGTGGTCTCAGCCCAGGGAACACAGGGGAGCCAGGACACTGCCCACCCCTCACCCTGGGATGTGGCTGGGGCTGGGCTGCCCTCCTTGGGCCTGGGCCGCCCTCCTTGGGTCTGAGGGGAGCAGAGTCTGTGGGAGAGCTGACTTCCTGTTAGGTTGGGGCTGTGGTGTCTGATGATGGAGGACCCTGAGGGCTCAGACGAAGAGTTTGGGGGTCATGTGGCTCTGCAGGGCCCTGAGGGTGTCCATCAGGGTGCTGCCCTGGGGAGGGGAAGAGGTGACAAGCTGTAGGACACAGTGCCCCCTGACCAGTGACTGTGCTTATGCTGGCCATAGTCCCAGGCCTGACCCTCATGGGGACCGGGGTCCACTCAGTGGGCTCCCTCACCCTATTCTTCCCTAGTATACCACCTGCCATCCTAGACTTGAGGCCCATTGGACCTCGGGGGTTGGGGAAAGCAGGCTGGGTCTTGTCCTGCCAAAGGATCAGACTTCAAAGGCCAGGTGGGTGGTGGGGACATGACCTGTCCACTGGGGTGCTGAGGAGGAGTGTGCAGGCTGGACCCCGCCCCCAGCAGTCTTAGATTCATAGTGGTCCCTGGGCAAGCCTCCCATGGGTGTTGGCATATCTTGCCCCCTGCCCTGTGGGGACACCCAGAGTCACTGTGAGGTTTCTGGAAAAGCTCCTATGCAGGGGTGTGTGAGGAGAGAGCTTTCTGGGTAGGTCTGGCTCCTGGCTCTCCTCCCTGCTGGCTCTGGTCCATGGGTACAAAGCTAGGTGCTCCATGGGATGGTGGCCCAGTCAGATGCCATCCTTTCACCTCTGGGCAGAGTGTGCAGGGCCCAGACTGCTTTTGGGCCCAGTGGCCATGGGCCCCTGGACAGCAAGGGAGATGAGTGGCAGGTGGGTCCAAGGAGGTGTGGAGGCACGGGGCTGGGACCTGTCTGATCTGGCTGCCTGAGTTTTCACTCGTCTTTAGCCCCAGAGGTAGAGACATGGCAGGGGCAGTGACTCTTCCCCGGGGCATGGTCACACTCCTGTTTACGGATGTGGTTCAAAGCCAGGGCCCCGGAGGCCTGCTCTGTGGACACTGGCAGGCAATTGGTCTGCTGTCAGAGGTCCTGGCCCTCCCTCCCCTGAGCCCTGGGCCAGCAAGAAGGGCGTGCCTCCATGTCTGTCCATCCCCGGCAGGACTGGACTGCATGTCCAGCACGGAGACAGGAGTCCGAGCAGGCCCATGCTGCTGGAGGCACCCTGCCCATGCCAGATGGCCCTTCCTGTGAGGCAGGCCAGGGCAGCGTGGACAGGGATCCTGTAGTTGGGCAGCATGGAAGTGCCCGTTGGGCCCTCCAGCTGTGGCTCTGCCAGCAGGGGCACTGTACCTGCTCCCAGTGTCCCCTGGAATCCTCCTGCTGGGTGTAAGCTAGACCCCAGCGGACCCTGCTCTCCTGGGGGCTCGGCCCACGGCCTGGGCACCACGATGGTTCTTTCCCTCCGTCCCTGGGGCTGGGCTGCTAAGGCCCCATGTCACATTGCTTTGTCCTGTTCTGCTCCCCCAGCCCCAATCCGAGCTGGGGGTACAGTGGATAGCCCACTCTTCCCGCCTGGGGCCAGGGGAGAGGGACCCCAACTGCTGAAACATGCCCCTGGGCCCCAGTGTCTGTAAATGCAGGGATCAGAGAGGTGACTCCCAGCTGATGACAGTCTAGGTTTGGGCAGCAGGTGGAAAGGCAACATCCCCCTTAAATGTGGAGCAGGGAGGGGGGGATGCAGAGGCTCTTGGTGTGTCCAGGTGGAGTCGGCTGCCACCTGCCATTGGGATCATGACTTTAGGCTGCAGGCATGGGTGAGTGGGGAAGGGAGGCCGTGGGTGTCTCTGGGCGCCCACATCCATGCTGCCCCCGGGCCTCCCCTGAACAGCCTGTTGTGGGGTGACGTGGGGCTCTCCATCCCAGGCCCTTGTCAGAGTGGACACTGGGGCTCATGGGTGCATCACAGGTGAGGAGCAGCAGGACCCCTTCTGAGACTGGCCAGCCCTGCCCTGTCCTGCCTATGCGGTTGCCTGGCCACAGGGAAACATCCATCCCACGTGGGGGGCCTGTATGGAGGCTGGACTAGAAGCACACTGTCCTCTCACTGAGCCCACTGCCTTGACAGGGGCATTCCAGGGTGCCACCAGGGCCCCTTGTCTGCCCCATCTGCTAGGCCTTGAAAGGTGAAAGAAAGGGTCATCTAGCCAGGTCTCCCAAGTTCAGAGCCTCGTGATGACACTGCGGGGTGGTCTCATGTCCCAGCACCCCGCAGCGTGTCCTGCCCATCCCGTGTCCCCAGGGTAGCTCCCATGGATGTCTCCTCTCCTGGAGCCCCTGCCTGCTCCACCCCATGGTCCATCCTTGCCCTGTCCTCCCTGAGCTCAGCTGCACCACCCTTCATTCTCTCCCCTCACTTTGGCCTCCCAGCCCTTGGCCAAGGCCTGGTTCCACAGGCCCCCCTGGGGCTCATGGCTCTGGACACCTGGTGCCTCCAGCTGCATCACCCTGGACCCTGAGCCCTGCCCATTACTGTCTGGGGCTAGCACAGGGACAGGCTTTCCGGCAGCTCTGTGGTTTTTCGGGTCGCTCAGGATGGAGCCGGATGCTGGCTCTGTGAGGGGCAGCCAGTGTCCACCCAGGGCGCTGGTGGACAGTCAGGGTTACAGGAATAGTATGTCAGGGGGAAGGGAATTGTTTCCAGCAACAACAAAATTAGAGGCCCAGGCAGGTAGGGAGGTGGGGTGTCCCTGCTGGAGAGTCCTGGCCCTGTGCCCACCTGGGGACTCCTTTCCATCTCGAAGTGGACAGACAGATGAGTGCCCTGTCAGCCAGAAGCGTGCTTTCTTGGATGGGGGCAGGAACCTGCTGAGGTGGATGAAGAACCTTTTGAAGCTGGAGTGACAGCCGTTTGCCCTGGTCTATTGGCCCCACCACAGCCCTTCCTGGGCAGCCAGATAGGCACCTGCATCCTGACCCCAAGGAAACAGAGGAGACCCTGTGCTGTAGGAAGGACCGGGCTTCTCTGGACTGGGCTCCCCGGTGTGGGGGTAGACAAGGGACACTGTGGCCAGGACTGCACGGGGAACTCAGGAACAGAGGGGAGGAGGGCCCGCAGTATGTCTAGGGCCTGGGCCAGGCCCCTCCTTCTGCGATCACCCTCCTCCCTAGGGCCACAGGAGGCTCACGGGCACCTGGTCTACATCCAGTGACATCTCTCACCTGGGTTGGGACTGGGGGTGTTGCACAGGATGTCCCATGGATCACTGCCACCTCTAGGAAGGGCCCCCTATGGGGAGGGGCTCCTCACTCCCCGGCGTGGCTCCACACCCTTCCCCTTGACCTTGGGCTTGGTCATGTGGTTTTTCATGTTGTGAGGTGTAGGGACTGGGCTGCAGTGGGGGCGTGAGGTGTGCTCTTGGCTTCCCTGTGACCCTCCTGGAAAGAGAGCTGTCTGGGCAGCTGCTCAGATCCAGAACAAAGGTCCAACCTTTGGTGGCCTGGAGGGCAGAGCCCCAGTTCCTTCAGACTCATGAGCAGGGGGGTGGGCATTTGCCCTGACTCCACAGAGATCCCTCCTGGAGCCCCATGGAGGGTGGCAGCAGACCTCATCCTACCCCCACCCCATTCAATGGAGGGTTGTCCTGAGGGTGCAGACTCCCTGCCCTCCGAGCTGGACCGAGGAGTCCTGTGTGACACTGTGTGCATGGCGGCAAGATGCTCCTGCCGGCTGACCCGGGGGTTGGAGGCCCAGCAGCAGAGGACGCGGGAGCAGCCTAACCTGGCCTCCGTCCACGGCACCCCTCTCCTCCTCGAAGCCCCTGGCCCACCCGCCTTTTCAACATAATCAATGTGCCAGGCACCAGCCAGCAGGGAGGATGGTGTGGGGACTCAGCCGGCCCCGGAGGGGGGGATGGGCGGTGGGAAGGTGGCCCACGGGCCCGGCCGGGTGGTGATGTCCTGCTGCCCGCTGGCTGGCTGGGCTTATGAAGCTGCAGGTGCCTGGTGGCCAGTGTGGCGAGGGGTGTCCACCGAGCCTGCCTCCTTGGCTCTTCCGGGGTTTCTGTCCTCTGATGGATGTAGCACTACGGGACAGCTGCAGACGCTTCCCCCCACCCCTGTCTGTCCTTCATCTTCAGACCTGTTTACTTCTTTCCTGAACTGAACTCTCATGCAGTAACTCTCTACTCCTATTTCTATCTCACGTTGCAGTGTCCTTGTTCTAAAGTTCTTTTCCATTCTAAGACGTACAAAATAGTTGGAATTCCCCTAGCATAAAGCGAGCTGTGAAGCAGGAGAGGAGAACCTGTCTGAATTTGATCTTGTGTTTCCCTTATTCATCCTCCAAGGGATCAGCTGAACCTCCGTCTTCACCTCCCACCTCGCCCTGAGCTCTGGGTCCAGAGGTCCTGGAAGCTGCCCATGCCCCCATCCCCCCTTTGGTGGATGGAGCCTGGGGAGTAGGGCGCAGCCTGGGGGGTGAGCCCAGAGAGGAGACTCTCCACCCCCACCGCTCCCCAGGAAAGTCCAGATCTTCCTGAGAGCGGAGGCTGAAGCTGTCCACAGGGTGGAGGGTGTGGCCTCGCTTGCACCTGAGCCACGGGCCAGCTCCCGGGGAGGGAAGTTCACGGTTTGCCCCTTGCCTGTGCCCCGGGGCGGAGAGCCGGCTCCATCTGCCAGCCCGTCAGCTGCCCCCTGCCGTCACCGCAGGCCCCAGACAGCATGCCGCCCCTGCGGGGGGGCACACACAGGTAAGCTGGGGGGTGTTGGCAGCACAGACACAAAACATGTCTTGAATTCCTGGGTGGTCTGAGGACCTGGCAGAAGTTATTCTGTGTCTTTTTAAAAGGAAGTCATTAGATTTGGGGCTTTTTTTCTCTTATGATGCCCCAGACTCACCAGCTGGGGCTTCATTTCGGACTGTGAGTGACGCCTCCTGGGTCCTGGGGCTCTGAGGGGATACGGGGCTCAAGCTCAGGGGACGACAGTTCCGTGTCTGGGCTTGAGGCCTGGGCAGGCGGCGGCTAGGAGTCTGGGACCTCCAGGCCTTCAGTCCCCGGGCCACGGCCAGGCCCCTATGTTTGCAGCATGGGTTTTCCCAGCTTCGGGGGCGTCCCTGCCTGAGCTTCTGACCCTTCCGGCCAGTTCCCCGCATGTGTGTTAGGGTCCTCGCTGGGGGCTCCAGGGACTTAGAGCGAGTCCCCTCTAGGGTGTGGGTGCCCAGCCCTGCTGGCTCTGAGTCATAAGCGCTGTTTTCTCTTACATAGAAGGAGTTGGATTTTTCGATGCAGTTTAGGTGTGGAGGGGAGGTGGGTGTGCCTGGAAATGCTTTGCATTTTCCTTTTCTATCTCATCCCACATGCTCTGGGGAGAAGCCAGTGCCTCTGGGTGCCTCCCTGTGGGCCCTGGGCTTGAGCACAACCAGCATCTCTGAAGACATGACTTCCATCTGCTGGTGAGGACAGGGGGTCCCCCAGGAGCTGGCCGAGGGGGGAGGGTACAGGTGTCCCTCTTCCGTGGAGGTGTATGGGGCCACTGTGCTTGTAAGGGGGAGATGTAAAGGTTTGGCAAGGATTGCTCGGCTAGCTAGAGGCCAAGCCCCGGCCCCACTGGTGCCCAGGCCTCTGGTTACACGGAAGGGGAGGGAATCCCAGGGTGAGACCCAGGAAGCAGGCTGCCTGGTGGGGCAGCAGGATGGTGTGTCTTAGGCCTACCGAAGGTGACTCTGCTGACACAGGGTTGGGGCCACAGCTGCTCCGTGTGTCCCAGGCTCCCCGGTTTGGCTTGAAGCCCCAGGAGGAAGGGGCGCCCTGGGTCACTGTGGCCACATTCATTTACTAGTCCCACACCCGGAGGCATGGACTGTCCAGAACTTCTTGTTTATTTTCCTTGAATTATACAAATGTTTGGAGGCTCTTCCCATGCAGGCCAGTGTGCTTGGCTGGTTGACAGGTGGGCTGAGCCATGGCCCTGAGGAAAGGGGGACATTCCCAGATGGGCCTGGCCAGGTGGGTACTCAGAGGCTCTGGGCACAGGGAGCAGATGGCCCTGGGCAGACATGGCCACGCAGGTATCCAGTGGCCCTGGGTGGTGTGAGGAGCTGCCTGGAGCAGAGACAAGACCTCCCCCTCTCAGCGAGTTCCGGGATTGTGATGTACGAAGGCACAAACCGTCCTCAGCTGCCCCAAGGTTTGGGACAAGCCCAGATGTGGGTGGCACCCCCAGCAGAATCCTGTTGCTGTCGGGGACCCCAGCCCTAGGTGGTGGAGTCTCTGGATGGCAGAACGGAAACCCCAAAGTTCTGAGTTCTGGCCCTGAATGTGTCATGGGGGGCCTCTTGAAAACCTGTGTGTCTGGGGACCAGGGAGCCCCTGGAGTGCTGAGCCCTGAGGAGTCCTGCCCATGGGGCCAGTGTGTCCCCGTGTGTGACCCCATGTGTGACCTGTGTGTGTGTGCTCCAGGTGGCCTTTCTCTTCTGGAAGTACTGCAGCCCCCTTGGGGGGCTGTCTCTGGGGGCGTTTTTGGGGAGCAGAAGCTGCAAGATTTTTATGGGTCTCCCAGAAACCTCCCAGCATCACGTTGGTATGTTCTGTTGGTCAAAGCACGGCCATCATTCCTGACTCAGGTGTGGGGCCATGGGCTTCAACAGTCTGGGAGGGAGGGAGGCAGCGGGAGGTGGGTGGAGGGACAGGCATCTGTGGCTGTGTCTCTGCTCTTCACGTCCAGCAGACAGTAACGATGTGGCCTTCTTTTCTTTCTCTAGAAGGAGCCCCTGGGTGGAGGGTGACCCACATTCCCTTCTGTTCTTTGTGAAATGTTGAGTTTGGATGTCTGACACCCCATCCCTGTTCCTTTTTGATTTGGCTTTTGTATGGATGGCTCTGTGCTCCCGACTCCCTGGCCTGTGGCCTCCATCCACCTGGCACTGACAGAGTCTTCAGCCCTGGGAGCTGTCCCCAGCCTCGGGGAGACCTTGGGCAGCTCGGCGCTGGCCTCACACTGATCCGTCTGGTTGGGGGGGCACTGGAGGCCAACTCCTCACTGCTGGTTCTCAGGCTGCTGAGCTGGGGAGGGGTCCTGCAGGGCCTGGTCTCCTGATGGGGCAGCATTTCAGGCCAAGTGTTTGGCCATGGGGAGGGAGCCCTGAGGAACGGTCAGTCCTGTCCTCGGTCCCCACTAATTCCAGGCTCCCACTGCACCTGCTCCCCTTGGCTTGTCCTTGTGCTCTGCAGTGCGTTGGGGCTCGATGAGGACCATGTGAAGAATGAATGGTGGAGGGGGGGGGGCTTTATCTGACAACTCTGGACCCTATACACGAGCTCTGAGTTAGGGCCCAGGTGCGCTGAGGGAGAATGTGTTCTAAGAAAGCCCATGCTTGTGTCTGGAGGCCCAGAGGACAGACAGAGGGCTTTGTAACAACCATTGTGTGTGGGGGTGCAGAGGGGACAGTCCACTCTGCTTTCCTCAGGCTGTGGGGCCACCGAGAGGGACGAGAGACAGGGTGGCCGGGCAGGTGGTTGTGGATTTTGTGGGGCTGACTTGTCAGCTCTGAGATAAGGCTCAGTATTGTTTGCCTAGATTTTGGCTAAAACTGGCCACTGTATGACCAGCAGACATTGGGTTCTGTGTCTGTCTACAGTCCCCCTGAGGCGGATGTCTGTCTGTCTTTCAGGAGCTGGTCAGATAGATTGACGTGTGTGAGAGAGATCCTGGATATAAAAATCCCATTTCCATAAAACCCTTGTGAGTCTCCCGCATAGTAAACAAGCTCAGTGAAACCAGAAGTTCCTGGAGCTGGAGTGGGGATGTCTTAACCCTGTTTGTGACCCGTGACTTTAGCTCTTTGACTGGTTCTTACCCAGACACGGGAGAACTCTCCCGAGTGACCTGAGGGCAGACCCACCTGGAGTGCTCACCTGGGGCTCAGGGGCTCCCCGCCCCTGGCCATCAGCTACTCATCTGGGGCTCAGGGGCCTGGGGGCCTTGAGCTCTCCCTGTGCCCCACCAGGACCGGACCAGGGCCGCGTCTGGTGGACAGCCTTGGCTCTCAGGCCTCTGCAGCAGGAGTTCTGTTTTCATGGTCTGGAACGCTGTGGCCCCTTCGGCAAGGCCTGACTGAGAGCCTGCTGGCCCCCTGATCACTGCTGGGAAGCAGCCTCGCAAGCATTCCTGAGGCGGGCGGCAGGCGCACGGCCTGGACGTGGGGCCTGGAGCCCCCTCCCCAGTGATTCCAGATGCAGGAGGTCTGAGACCCTTTGGAAGGTGTTCACTGAGCATGCAGGCTGACCGCCAAAGGAAAGGCAGCTTGGCAGACACCCTTGGAAGCAATGTCACGTGGTAATCATTTCCAGCTGTATTTATTTATTCCCACAATTGTTAGCTTTCAGTTTTTTTGGCAGCTGAGCTCTTTAAGAATATTTTTTAATTTATTTTTTATCATTTTAGACAGTTTTATTGATGCAATTCACGTACCAGACAATGTCCCCATTTAAAACTGTCCGTGCACTGGGCTCTCATGCTGACCACGCGTCTGTGGGACGCTCTGTGTGCAGGGCACATACAGGCCACAGAGGGGCTCGGTCCCTGTCGAGCTGCTTGGCAGAACATACTGCCCACCTGCGGGCCCGGCTGTGGCCCTGACGCCTGGCTACGTGGCCCCCCGGCGGCTCCAAAACCCAGGACCCTGCGGACCCTGTGGGTGTTGGACCAGAGGGCTTTTGGTGAAAGAGGAGCCTCTCTTTAGAAACCAACGGATTTCTCTGAGCACCATTTGTTTTCATCGTACAGCTGGAAGAACGGAGACAAATTCCTGTTGCCTCAAGACCAGAGGGGCGATTGTAAATGTCGATGCAGGAACCTGTAACAGATGAGCAGCATGTGCCAGAGTTTTCCTAGTCTGTGCTTCAGGGGCCAGGAGACGCGTGGTGTTGGCAGAGGGAGTTGTCCGCGGCGGGATAGTGCGGTGTCTTGAGGGAGCTGGCGGGGCTGCAGACCAGCTGGCGCTGGAACGGTCCTGTCCGGGCTGTGAACCTCTGTGGCCTCCTTGGCACTTAGGTTCCCAGGGCAGGGAGAGGGGAAGGGCTCAGCGGAAATGGCTGGACTAGTGCAAGAGCCCGTGACTGTGTGACCCCGTGACCGGGGCGTGGCCTTCCGAAGGACAGTCCTGTGGGTTTCGGGAATGCTTGTCCCTTCTCACTGGCTGTAGGTACCTGGGCCCCCTGAGAATCATGCACGTCCTGCTGGGGCCCTGCTCCCGTCTGGCGGTGGGCTCTCCTTCTGCCTTTGTGGACAAGGGATGGAAGATGCCAAGACACGGCTTCGCTTTGGTTTCGTGTGAGCACTGTGGGTGGAGAGATGAGTAAGGATGGGAGACCCCAGTTCTGCCATCTCCTGTGACTTGGAGACCACACTGCTGTGCGGGAAAGGGGACGAGACGCTGTAAGAAGTTTCCTTCAAAGAGCTGTGGGCTTGGGGTTTTAGCTGAAACTGGAGCTGGACACGCCCACGTGAGCTCATGAGAGATTCTGTCTCCTTCGGCCGACAGGGCCCTGAAACTACCACCTTCTCTGAGCCGCCCCCAGAGGACAGTCCCTGAAGACCATTCCTGCCAGTAGGACACCAGGCTTCTTAGAGATGCGGCTGGCTCCAGGCCTGGGCTGGGAGGAGCCCAAGACAAGCCCAGATGGCAGGGATGCCAAGTCAGGGCCACCATAACTCTGGAACAAGACCGTGATACATGGTAAATAGGTGG